AAAGCAAGTTCCTGTTCTGCTTTTTTTATATATACTAGCTGGGAACAAAGGTCGCTTTTTGCCAAATGTTATATGAAATTTTATTTAAATGCATTACTTTAACAACTTTATATTTGAGTTCAAATTCAACAAAGCAGTGATGTCCATAAGTAACAAAAACTTTTATTAGGTAATAACAGACATGAACACTAATTTTCATTCATTTTAATAAATTACATAGATAAAAGCTAATTCCACCAAACAAAACACTTGCATATCTTTCCATTTTAGCGAACAGTGCTTATAACTAATGAATATTCATTTTGCCATGGATTAAATATTCCAAACGGATTTGTTCTGTAACTCCTCAGCATTCATTCTAATCCCTCAAGAAGTACCGCAAAATAGATAATGAATACATCTGCTTGAAAACACTGACTATTTTTAGTCTCACTTGCTGAGTTGTCTCCAATTTTCAATCATTCGTCTTTTGTTTTTACCCTTCAAAAGACGAAGTGAATTTCACTAAAACTTACCGCAAAGAAAGTGCTTTTTGTATTAACGTAGATGACTATCAAAAGTTAAAGGATGAAATGTTTCGGTAATACTCTGTTATCTTTAAAAGTTGGCATAGTTTAGCTACCCTATTGAACCTTTCCCTTTTAAATACAGTGTAATATTTGAAAAGAGAACTGCATAGGTAGTAAAAATTTACTGCGGGGTTGGAGTTAGTGCTCCTTTCGATGGTGAACGGTTTCGCCTGAGTCACTAGTTGCATCAAACCCTATAGTATTTTACCCGAAAGGTGTGGTCAGGCAAATGCGTTATGCTGTTTTACAGCAGGCAGGCGTAGTCATTCCTAAATTATCCTGAAGTATAACACTGACCAAATATCAACTCGTATTCGTCATCTCTTCAAAAAAGTCTTTAAGATGAATTGCTTCTGTAAACAAATAAGTTACTTTGCTGAAAATTTTTTCGCATCGGGTTTTTGCGTTATAATTTTATTCCTCTATGAAGTCTTATTTTTAGAACAAAAATCTTGCGCGTTATTTGCGTATTCCTTTATCTTAGGTATTATGCAATGAAATTACCGAAATTCACACAGTCTACCTATGGCAATGAAGACACTAGGCGTCATTTACATCAAAGTATAGAAGTGAATGCCTAATTTCTCGTTTATAGGATGAATCGTTTTTCAGCGGAAGGGTTTGCCAAATTGCAATCCAATAAGAAAAATTCACGTTTTAGTAGTCAAAATCTTACGGAACTGTATGGTACATGTTGTCGTGCTTTCAATAGGATTCTCTTCACTTCCTGCTTGTTACATAATCTTTACCTCATTATATCACACATATTTACCAACGTTTAGGAACCAATCACCCATCTGATAAATAATGAAAAGAAATTGCTGTCATTGGAGAAGGGATTATTTTCATTGCTGACATTTTGCCTCCAATCTATTCTTACTTTAAGACTTACAAAAGGCACAAACACTCCCGTTCAGTTAATAAATTGTACATGGCATCGGGAGCAGGAGAAAGATGTGGCTGCATCTAAAGTTACTCTTAAAACACCTCTGCGTAATTTAATCGATTCACGGTCACCAATTGGCTGCAAACATTGTTCCAGCAATTTTACCAACGCAAAGAATAGTTTAGGAAAAAGACAACTCAAGGACTTCTTCCCTACATTGAAAAATGCTTTTATGAAAGGTGTTTGTGACCGCCTAATAATAGTTTCTTGGGCAGAAAGGGACATGAAATTTATAGCGAAAATCCAAATTAACTACTTTGAAGGGAGTTGATGGGAAGCCAAGAAATTGGATAAGGTGATGACATTATTACCATTTAGGATATTTTATTCCAGGTATGGAATCGTAATTTTGACGTCTCTGATAGTTTAAATGTAGTAGCCACGCATACATTAAGAAGGAATGATAAAGTAGGACAACTAGCAAAATCGTGCAAAAAATCCTAAGTAGATTCAGGCAATCTTGCGTGTATCTGTGTTCTTGAATTGCTCCAGAGAGTTTTATTTGTGTTGCTAAGCTGAATTTGTCGAAACAACTAAGTGGAAATGTTTCAGAAAAAAGTCTTGAAAGTATGGATTTCCAGAAGCACGGCCAACACAGAAGCCTTTCCGCGAAATGAAACTTACTGTAGCTAATCGGTGGTAAGCTTCGAACTGATTCAAACTGATTTATCAGCTTTACTGTTTTAGCCTCACCTACTCAGTTTGCGACACGACTCGGTTCAACTACCATTTATCACAAACTGACAAGAAAAACTTGCACATTTAATACTGGCATCGAATGTGTTAAATCCTCCGTACTTAATTGCACAAGATAATCACCAAATCAATTTATATTTAAAAAGTATTCCCAAAAAATAGATACGAACTATTTGACTTTGAACTAGAGAGCAAAAGCTGAAACGCAGC